CTATAGTTTGTCCACAGATGAATATTGTATACTTTCTTTATTATAATGCAAGACCTTCTATCAAGGTTGACCAAGCAGAATCTGCTTGATCTCAACTGGGAGGTTTTCCCATACTCCCCATATAGCTTAGATATTGCACCCTCTGACTACCATCTCTTCTCCATTCAACACTTCTTGGATGGAAGGCAATTTGCTGATGATAAGATGAGAATCACATTTGCAGAGTTCTTCATGACAAAGCAACCTGAGTTTTAATGTGTAGGAATCTGTAACCTGTCCAATCAATGGAAGAAAGTGCTTGATTGTAATGGCAATTATTTTACTGAATAAACTATTTTTTGTTTTTGAAATAAATGCTGTACAGTACTATAAAACTCTAGAAAATTCCAGAAACTTTTACATCAACCCAATATATATAAACAAAATTTTATTTACTGATCTTTTACTAATCTTAAAATAATTTCAGTGGATATTTGTACTGAAAATCATTTTTGGAAGTTTTTTCCAGCATAATTATTTTGAATGTAAATAGGATGTTTGTATTTTACACATGTACTGTACAATATATGAAAATGTTGGAAAGATGTCTAAATGCTGTAAATTTTATTACACTATAAAACAAAATTTTTTATTTAAACAATTTACAGTACCCGTATTTATTTTGTACTTTCCCTGTCTGATATTATAATTATTTTAGAAGTTCTGATAAAAAGCTGATTTTTTTTTTTTGAATGTGTTAAATAATTTGTTAAAGTATATTATCAAGGCACAAGTTTTTTTTTATATCGAAATTCTTATTAAATATTTGTGTGTGTCTGTATATATATATATATATATAATGTCAGTTTCTTATTCGTTTCAAAACAACAGAAAAATCAGTAATAATATTTTGATGTATGAAGTGATAAAATAAATACAATATACATGTATTAGTTTTTGCCGCCATGACAGCGAATAAGAGAACGATCTCTTATGGCAATTTCCCAGGCTTTGACACTTTTATTTCACCGATTGATACGTAACCTGCAATGTAAAAAATAATAATAAATAAAAGACAAAAGTCGAGTGAAGTAACATTCGACAGGACGCTTAGTATTTTCGATATTTATAACAAAACGTTGGCTGTTTTGCTTTCTATTTTTTTATCGTTTATACATACATACAGTTATATTATATATTATCGGATTAACTCGATGTTTTTAAGTTATGAAATATGATCCGACTGGTATATTTCATGCGTAAAGAGCCATATGTGACTATGATGACTATGACGCCGGAATTTTCAGAAAACGAGATTTGAAAATTGGACTGATTTTTCATTTCCCACCAAACATTTGCTATTTTATGTAACCGTTTGGAATTCTATATATCTATTAATGGTCGTCCCAAATAGAATGTGTTGAATATAATTAGAATACTTTATTATTGAAAAATGTAAAATTTAGAGTTAGCTTCTTATGGTTATATACCCATGATTTGTCAATATGTTTATTCATAATTTTATTTAAATGTCTTAGGCATAATTTAAACTAATTATTATAATTTCTTCACAAGTATGAATACATCGTTTATTTTAAAACAATCTTATTTTAATAGTTTTTAATATTTGTAATTAATATGATCATTATTAATATAGCAGAAAACTGTTATGATTGGTTGATTAAAGAAAGGCACATAATGACTTTGAAAGTACTGATTGTGAACAGATTAGTATATATATATATATATATATCTCTTGTAGTCTATTTTTTTATTTCCTACTGTTTGTTTATAAGAAATATATTCTTAGTTTTCCTATAAATTAAAACTATATTGCTAAATTTTCATAAGAACATAGTATTTAAAGTATGCTTAGACCTATATTAAAAATTTAACAAATTTGATGTAATATTAAATTATCGTATCAACGTAATTAAAAAATGTTATTTATATTTGACATTTATAATAATTTTATTCTAGATAATCAAGGAACAAAATTTTCTGAAAAGCACTACGATCTTACTTTATATTGTTATTACTTATATATCTTATTACTTTATACGATTTTAATCTGTTATGAGATTTCNTCTTGGAACTTTAAAGTTGCAATATATGGATGGCAATATATAAGCTGCTCAACTTCATCCACACTTGATCAGCTAAACTTATGTCAGGATTAGGCATATCAAGGAGTAGAGGCTTTAATTCTAAAAGAAGTTTGATCATTAAATAAACACTGTCCCATCTGATAGCTTGATCAATTAGGACTCCTTTTCCACAGTGCCTTTTGAGAATAGCATTATTCTTGGGGTTCCGAGCAGCTGTAGCAACCTGATGCAACTTACTTATGAGCTTAACTGCATGAGCTCTTTTCAGACCATTGCAAATTGCAAGCTGTAAAGTATGCACACCACACCTCATATGTTGTATATTGACATTGGTGGAAGTGAAACCTGTAAAATTGTTTCCAATAACATCCAAGGTTTTGTCTAAGTGCTCATCTTCATCTAAGTCAAAATTATTGTTCTCATTCTCCAGGCTCTCCACACAGCTTTCTCCTGATTCAAAATCTGTCTTTTTCTAATTAAGCTTTCAACTGTTTTTATCATTAATTAAAATATCTTTAAGCATGAGGCAGATCACACCAATGATAATGGGCACAGATGAGCACATTGCCTCATGGTTATAGATATTTGAATTAATTTAATTATACCTAGGGCTAAAAGTAATTTCTGTTTTTATCATGTTTGATGCATTGTCTATTACTATTGTCAAGATATTTTTCTTCTTCATTTCAATTCTTTGAGCACATTTTCAATCAACTTGCAAACTGATTGCTTGCATGCTAGTTTTAGTATCTGTAACTGCTAAGGTATGTATTATCATTTCTTTATTTTCATTCACAAATTGGGCATTTATTGCAAAATAATTTACCTGCTGATGGGTGCATGCATCCATTTTCAGATGAATATACTTTTCCTCGAGCATTTCCTTCAATAATTTTTTTCACCGTTAGCTTTTTCTATTATTATTTTTCTAATATTATATTATTTCAAAGATATCTTTGGAATGATTTTTAAGCGCTCCAAATGGCATTTTAAATTGGATTTCCTGGTGGGTGCATAGCCACCTTTTCCTTTTTGTGTGCTGTTTTCTTAATTGCATTGCTTTTCTGGGTTATCTTCATTCATTAATTGGCATTTGAAGACATTGTTTTCTTGAGATAATTCAAAGCATCCAAGTACTGCAGATTTTCCTTATTCCATTATAGGAAATTAAATTATTAAAATTGAGGTACACTCACTCAGCAGTATGTAAATAAAAAAAATTTGTTATTTTTATTTGTATTTAAATTTTTGTTCTATTTTATTTATATTCAAATGTTCTTAGCCTGATGATGGCCAACAGATTTGGCTGAAAATGTTTGCTTTTTCATTAAATTTTCTCAGCAAATTAAAGTGTTGTGTTTTCTTTTGATTTTAAATTATTAAATTTATACTTTATCTGAAAAATAATTAAGTTAATTTAAATTTAAGGTTAAAGCTAAATCCAAAAGTTAAACTTCAAATATAACATATTTTTATTAGCTGGATTAATGATTTAAATTAGTTAGTGCAATATAATAAAATTGTTTTTTAAATTAATGTTTGAATGTGCAATATAATTAAAGAAATAAGGAGTAACAAATATATTTTGTTACTCCTTTTCCTACTCATACTCCTTGAAAAATCTTCAACTCTTCTTACTCCTTACTCCTACTCCACAGCCCTATCTGCCTATGCCAAGAAAAGTTTTATTTATTATTTGAATTACTACTTCATTAAATATTATATTTTATGAAAATTAATAGCAAAATAATTACAACTTCTTTTGTTTAAATTTATTGTTTGCAAATATTAATGATTAAGTGAAGGTATAATTGAATATGTGTAATATATTTTTAATAGTGTTCAAGCAAGAGGAAAAGCACTTCATAATGCATTGAATTCATTACAACAGCTGGATAAAGCAATGGATCGCTTTTTAGCTTGGCTCTCAGAATCTGAATCAACATTAGAAATGTTGGACATTGAAGCTGAAAAGTTTGGACCCAGAGATGATCTTCAAAGATTACTATACTGAAAATAGCCATTCAACACTGACTTGGGTAGGTGGTAGAACAGTAGCCCAAAATGCCACAACTTGAACTATTAATGTATATTTTTTTATTGCGTCTATTACCTCTAACTTTGATTTACAACCTACTTTCTCCACTAAAGTTAAAGCCTGATAGAAATCAAAATGGAACTTCTCATAACTACTTGCTGCTAGTGCTGCATCTTCTCCGTTGTTGGTACTATTACTAGCTTGAGCTTCAACATGTCTTTTTTTTTTTTATGTTTTCTTGGTGATCAAGGTATTTTTCAAAATCATCATCAAATTCTGAACTTGAAGTGGCAGGTGATGTGTTAAGCTGAAGAGAGTCCACATAATCTGATTGCTTTTTTCCTGCAAATTTTTACTGCAAGGAAAAGCAGCACTACTTGGTTTCTGCTTTTCCTTTGGTTAAGCGATCCTCTGATAGCCTTATTTTGTAATTTGGATCAACATAAATTGCTGCTAATAACATATCATCATCTAGTAACTGAGTTTCTCTGCACTTCATAGACTCTTTGATTCCATCAGCAATGAGATCACCAATTTTGGATAACTTGAAGATTAAATTTCTCCATTCCTTGAAGAAAAATCAGAGAGTTAGTAAGACTCTTGGAACTTTAAAGTTGCAATATATGGATGGCAATATATAAGCTGCTCAACTTCATCCCACACTTGATCAGCTAAACTTATGTCAGGATTAGGCATATCAAGGAGTAGAGGCTTTAATTCTAAAAGAAGTTTGATCATTAAATAAACACTGTCCCATCTGATAGCTTGATCAATTAGGACTCCTTTTCCACAGTGCCTTTTGAGAATAGCATTATTCTTGGGGTTCCGAGCAGCTGTAGCAACCTGATGCAACTTACTTATGAGCTTAACTGCATGAGCTCTTTTCAGACCATTGCAAATTGCAAGCTGTAAAGTATGCACACCACACCTCATATGTTGTATATTGACATTGGTGGAAGTGAAACCTGTAAAATTGTTTCCAATAACATCCAAGGTTTTGTCTAAGTGCTCATCTTCATCTAAGTCAAAATTATTGTTCTCATTCTCCAGGCTCTCCACACAGCTTTCTCCTGATTCAAAATCTGTCTTTTTCTAATTAAGCTTTCAACTGTTTTTATCATTAATTAAAATATCTTTAAGCATGAGGCAGATCACACCAATGATAATGGGCACAGATGAGCACATTGCCTCATGGTTATAGATATTTGAATTAATTTAATTATACCTAGGGCTAAAAGTAATTTCTGTTTTTATCATGTTTGATGCATTGTCTATTACTATTGTCAAGATATTTTTCTTCTTCATTTCAATTCTTTGAGCACATTTTCAATCAACTTGCAAACTGATTGCTTGCATGCTAGTTTTAGTATCTGTAACTGCTAAGGTATGTATTATCATTTCTTTATTTTCATTCACAAATTGGGCATTTATTGCAAAATAATTTACCTGCTGATGGGTGCATGCATCCATTTTCAGATGAATATACTTTTCCTCGAGCATTTCCTTCAATAATTTTTTTCACCGTTAGCTTTTTCTATTATTATTTTTCTAATATTATATTATTTCAAAGATATCTTTGGAATGATTTTTAAGCGCTCCAAATGGCATTTTAAATTGGATTTCCTGGTGGGTGCATAGCCACCTTTTCCTTTTTGTGTGCTGTTTTCTTAATTGCATTGCTTTTCTGGGTTATCTTCATTCATTAATTGGCATTTGAAGACATTGTTTTCTTGAGATAATTCAAAGCATCCAAGTACTGCAGATTTTCCTTATTCCATTATAGGAAATTAAATTATTAAAATTGAGGTACACTCACTCAGCAGTATGTAAATAAAAAAAATTTGTTATTTTTATTTGTATTTAAATTTTTGTTCTATTTTATTTATATTCAAATGTTCTTAGCCTGATGATGGCCAACAGATTTGGCTGAAAACGTTTGCTTTACATTAAATTTTTTCTCAGCAAATTAAGGTGTTGTGTTTTTTGATTTATATACTAATGCTGAGTGAGTGTACATCAATTA